AATAAGGAGTTTATGACACTTTATCGAAAAACACTTTTTCGAAAGGCACTTGTTCGAAAAAATAAACTTAAATTTAAAAAATTATTTAGTTAAACCTAACCCAACATAAACTAACTCACTTATATTTCGGTAATTTGTATAATAAAATGAAATGCATTTTTATTTCATTGAAAGGCTAGAATTAAATCCATATAATTTCTTTATAAATATCAATTAAATTATAATTATATTAATAATAATAATCAAATATAAAATACAAGAATTAAACAAACACTTGTTGATCGTTCCTAGACACTTTTTCGAAAGACATTTTTTCGAAAAGCACTTTTTCGAAATTACTTTTTCAAAAATTAATATTAATTTGCTTTAAACGCTTTAAATTAGCAAAAATTGTTAATAATGTTATTAATTAAGTTTATATGAGTTAGTTTAGGTTGGGTTAGGGTTAACTAATTATTAATTATTATAATTATTAATTAATTTTTTAATTTAAGTTTATTTTTTCGAACAAGTGCCTTTCGATAAAGTGTCATAAACTCCTTATTTATCAAACGTATCAAATAAAATACAACATAATCTCATAAATACATGAATTGCATATTTTTATACAAAATGAAAGCTTTTATTACAAATTGACAACAAATATAATATTTAAATTATTGGGAAAATAATCAGTTGTTTAACATAATTGACAAAATATAATGGAAAACAACTTAAATCACTATAAGTTATGGTTGACGTAAACAAATAATTATAATTAACTTAATTGTATCGGATATTGTCTATAAAGATCGGGTCACAAATAATTTCTAACACATATTGTATTGATACACATTTTAGACAAACAAAACTTTATAAAATCTCTTTTATTGTTTTCTATGCTTTAATGACATGAAAATTGAATATAAAAATGCGGAAAAGTATAAATATCTAACAAAATATGAACAAAAATAAATCAATTCATATTTAGATCTCTGACTGTCTTCAAGAATGTGCACCAATTGGGAGGAAAGAAGTACTCAAATGAAAAACAATTACTTTTCGACTCTCTTTTCACTGCATTTTGTTTGTCATCTGCGAAGAAGAAATATATGAGACAATCAAATGAACATTATTTTGGCGTTTCATAGGCTTTAAAAATGAGATTAGAAATCAAATAACTTTTAGCGATAGAAATGTCATCAATGGTTAAAAACCATAACAAATCGTAAATTTTATGATAAATCTCTAATAAATTATTCAATAAACTATTGAATTAATGATTTAACGTTTGATTAACAGCGGATTCGAGGGCTTAAGAAATGGCGGGTCAGTCGCAGACCATATCATCGCCGAGGGATGCGTTCGACTCATTACCTAATTTAGAGCCAGACGTCCACCAAATGGAGTGGCGATCGGCCGGTATCGACAGGTTCTTCATGTGCAGCGCGTATCGCAAACTCTTGTCGCTATTATAGCGAAAACCAGACACACGAATGACAGACACCTTCTGGAGGGGGAACTCCAGGTTATAAAATCCCGAATCAATTAAATACGTGTCGTCGCTAACAGTGACCCAATCAGTGATGGCGTGAATGTCGCGCACAAATGCCGGACACAACTCAACACGACATTCAGCGGCTAAACACTCGTCAAACTTGCGGTGCTTTTCGTTCTCCAAAACTAATTCAAATTGAAGACAATCGGCGACTATTGGTTGCGGCAAACGTATGAGATAATGGCCGACAGTGGTAATGGGCTGCTGGACGAGCTGTTTGAATAAGTTGTCCATAGATGTGTCGGTCTGGCGGTCGCGCTCCACCTCTTCGGGGCTAAAACGCATCTCAAACAAGTCATCAAATGAATTGACAAACTTGTCGTTAGAGTCAT